GGCCCCCTGCACTCGTCCCTCCTACTTCCAGAAAGGGTCCGAGCTAGTTTACAAAATTGTGCAGACTCTACACCATGACCACAAGAAATAGAAAGGCCCCGGTCCTCATTCTAACCATTTCTTTTCCTGGCACTGAGTTTGACAGGAGTGGGTTTGAGTTCTTACACACAGGCGTGCATTAACCACAGTCTTGGAAGTTACAGAAACGTTCATTTATTTTGCAGTTTCTTGTAGACAATACACCGGGGGATAACATTCCATCTGAGAGGTGGTTGAGATTCATTACTTACAGCAGTCTGATGTAGTAAGTCACTGAGCTCAGAGAATCTCCTCTTTGGGGCCCCTCCAGTGTTTGAGTCCCTGGAGTTGAGGGCCCTGCTTCCCCAGGAGGCTTGAGGCTTAGAAGGAAGAGTGTGCGGGGTCAAGGCTTCAGACGGGACAGGGCTGCGCTGCCCAGAGTCCCAGTGCTTTGCTACGTAAGAAGAAGGTATATTTTGTACCTAAAACAGTAAACATTGTCCCCACCTCAAGTGTTCTATGATAATCCCAGAAGGTGGCCTCCCCTGTGGTATTCAGCTCTCCGATCCCTCACTGCTGAGATTCCTGTCGGGTGGGGGCTGCTTCCCACGGCAGCGGGCCTCCTGTGTGCTTCAGTGAGGAGGTGGGGAGAGCCATCGAGGGACAAAAGAAAGGGAAGCCGCAGAGGCCCGAAACGAACAGATTTGCTGGAGATTGGCTTGGAAATATTTGCTAAAGCTCCAGAGCTAGGAATGCAGGGAGAGCTCACACTGTTCGCTGGGCACAGGTCCAGCGACGCGCTCTGTTGTGTCAGTCCGCACTAACATGCGGCTTGTGTTTTTCTCGCTTCAGGGAGTTGGAAAAGCAAAGGGAAAGCACAGCCACTGACATTCTGCAGAAGAAACAAGAGGCAGAAGCCGCTGTAAGTGCTGCGCGGACGCGTCCCCGGAAGTCCTTCTGCTCTGGGTGACTCCGGCCACACGCCTCTCACCGGGGCTCGGGGATCACGGCGCCCTCTGCACGTGGGCCTCGGGGGCGGCAGCTTCAGTGGTCATTTCGGTCTTTCTAATCCCTGCGGGATACAATACCAGGACCTCCAGGCCCGGTCCTGAAGATGAGATGCAATTACCCTCAAAAGGCATAACAGGGTGTTTCTAAGAACCGGAGGGCCCTGTCTGTCCTCTCTTCCTTCCCTTTAAGTGAACTGTTGTTAGGTGACAGAACAGAGATACCCAGCATAAATGCAGGGGTACCATTGGGTTCTTTGTGAACAGAGGAGGGGCGAAAATGCAGCCAGGCTCGTGGCTACAGCTGAACCAAGAGGCAGAGCCCAGGAAGGACCCTGACAGTGGCCCTCCTTGTTCTTTTGCAGGTTCGGTTGATGCAGGAATCTGTCCGAAGAATAATTGAGGCGGAAGAGTCCAGAATGGGTGAGAAGGCCTGGCCTCTCTCGGGGCAGGGTGGGCGCTGGGGGTCTCAAAGGGGCATAGCGCCCCTGCGGTCCGGCTCTGCGAGGGCTGCCCACCCGAGACCCGCCTCTGCTCAGACTGGGTCCATCTTCAGGGCTTATCATCGTCAACGCCTGGTACGGGAAGTTCGTCAACGACAAGAGCAAGAAGAGCGAGAAGGTGAAGGTGATTGACGTGACCGTGCCCCTGCAGTGCCTGGTGAAGGACTCGAAGCTCATCCTCACAGAGGCCTCCAAGGTACGGGGCCTGCCGTGGGGTTCAGACACGAAAGGCCTGTGTGCAGTGGGGGCGGCCTGGCACCCCGGCACGGCCCTTTCGTTGTGGTGGAGTCGTTCGTGTCGCTGGCACGGGCTTGGCCTGCTGCCCAGCACCCGCGTTACAGTCTCACCGGAGCTGTTCGCGCCCTCCGTCCCCGCGGCAAGGATTTCCTGAGCACCTGCTGTGTGCCAGGTAGGGCAGCGAGCAAAACATACATCCTGCCTTCATGGAGCTTACATTCTCCTCGTTCCTTGCCTTGCTCTAGAGTGAGTGTGAGATCTGTAGAACGTTGGAAGCTCACGCTGGAGCGCACGGTTGGGGACGGTAAAGGCAAACCAAAATGCAGATCAGCTCAGGCCGAACACCTAGCTCTCTCAGGAGTCCTGACGGGGCTTCTGTGAAGGCAGGGGTCTCTAGCGTGGGAGAAAGGGTCTTCATTGCAAGGGAAGCCTAGGACTAAACAGGCAACTTTTCTGACAATCTCAGCTCCACGGTGTGCATCTTCCGTGGACGGCTCCTGAGGGAAAGTCAAGGCCCTTGCACGCTGATCCTCAGCTGGCGGCAGACGGCAGTGGTGCTGGGCTTGAAACAACGGTCTCGGGCCCCGTGGAGTAAGACTGTGTTTGTTACAGGCGGGGCTGCCCGGGTTCTATGACCCGTGCGTAGGTGAGGAGAAGAACCTGAAAGTGCTCTACCAGTTCCGAGGCGTCCTGCACCAGGTGATGGCACTGGACAACGAGGCGCTTAGGATACCAAAGCAGTGTGAGTAGCTGTCCCTTTGCAGTCACCTGCCCTGTGCATGGACCAGGGGGAGGCCCTCAACCGCTGACGGGGACGGGGGACACCAGAGTGTGGAGTGACAGCTTCCCTGTGTTACCCACCTGGGAGCGAGTGACTTGCTCAGAGCCCGCGATGGGATGCCCCGAGGAGGGGTGGCGGCCGCCCTTCCCAGGTGGGACCTCCAGTGAGCTCTTTGCTTGGAAACTGCAGCTTGGGTGGCTGGGCCGGAAGCACACCCAGCTGCTTCTGTATGTTCCAGAACCGTTTGACTCTCTGCAGCTTGTACTCTGCCTCTGGTCAGGTGATGGCTGAACCCCTTCAGTGGAAGAAGGGCATGGAAACAGTTGCCTTTGGTACAGTTTGTCTTGTCTTTCACAGCTCACAGGATCGATACAGATGGATAAACTGCTTGAGAAACCAGATTTACAAGAGGCTGCAAAAAATCCTTTCCTAGGAGTCTACAAATTCAGAAGCAGGGAAAAAACCCAGACATCAGATGTGTTTATTTTCTATTATTCCTAAAGAAGGTGGTACCGTATCAGTTATGTGGAGGGACACACAGACACCCTGCTTTCATGGGGTGCTGTAGGTAGGACTGAGGCAGCCCCACCTGGACCAGAACTGCAGCACGGCCTGTGGCTGTTTTCCCAAGGATCGTGTCCCTGGAGGGAAGGGCCCTGGGCTCTGGGCCCTGGCCCCCTAGGCTCCCGAGCCCCGCGTGCTGACTGCAGCCACCCAGTAGCGCTCGGTCTTGAGGTATTTATGGAACATCCTGCCCTCACACATAGGACTGTGAACTACTTTTCCTAAAATCCACACTGAGCATGGAAAACAAAATGGAAAGCAAGGAAGTTGTTCTCATGACTCCAGAACAAGTGAGCGTCTGTTAGTCAACTTCCCAAAAACCACTTTTTCCTGCTGAAATATCATTCAGTGAAGCTGGAGAGGATTGTGTGGGTTTATAAATCTGCTTTTTATCTGAGAACGAATGGTTTTGGAAATTAGTGTCTTTTTTCCCCCCCCTCCCAGAACTTCTCAAATCATTCCACTGGCACGTGGCTTGGGACAGAGTAGTATAACCCCCCGGTCCCAGGGCCCAGCCCTGTCACCGGTCACTTCCTCCCAGGGGCCACCTGTATCCTTGTGGCAAAAGGCAGATGCGAGCTAAGCCATGTCCCTTGCAGCCCGCCCCCCAAGGCTCAGCCCGACCTGCCTCTGCCCCCGCCTCCCCCCCCCACACACACACTGGAGCCCAGAAACGGAGAGACGCTCGGAGGAGAGGGCAAGCATGGGGTGGGGACTGAAAGCACCCTGGCTCGGGTTCGTGCCAAATCCCCCCACGCTGGGAGAGCAAGGCCAGCCGGAGGCTCGCTTGCTCTCTCATGCGCCGCCAGCAGGTGGCGCAGCTGCTCCCGTCCCGCTCCCTCCTCAGGGGACTCGTGGCGGCTCCCAAGCCCCTCTTCTTTCACTTGCCTCTTCTGTGGATGCAGAACATTTTAGAAGCCAGGAGGCCCTGGCTGGTGGTGGTTCTGACAGCGCCCCCACCCCATCCCCGCAGCTATTGCTAAAATCAGGCTCTGCGGTGGTACCGGAGTAATTGCTGATACCCCCCTTCCTCCAGTTTTCAAAAACAGTTCAGGTCGTCCAATTCTGTAATATTTATCTCCATTTGATAAAGTTCTTCTCTGAGCTGCAGCTCTGAATGTAAATCGTGCAATAAGCGTGGCGTGAACTCTCTGACTTTGGACGCGGCCATTCGTTCCCTCCACGGCAGGTGGCTCTTTGGGGCACCGATTCTCTTAATTTTGTCTGAAATGGACTGTACATAAGGCACTCTCTTATCACAATAAACCTTTCCTGAAAACTGGGGAGAGTTTCAGTGCATCTGTATGTTCATTTTCAGGGATGAGCAAAATACGTAAGTGGTAAGAGCCCCCTCCTCACACCCTCATTCCATCCTCCAGCCTTCACTGTTGAAGCCCCATTTTTAAACACGAGGCTGAACTGGAAGCCGTGGTTCAGTTTTCCATATTCGACCTCCGCCTGAGGAACACGAGTCCAGGGTCAGGAGATGACTTAGGCTAGGATCCTTCGTTTCCTGGAGGTGGTGTGGCCTGGTTTGGTTTGGTTTGGTCTGGTCTGGTCTGAGCGTTCCCAGATCCAAAAAAATCACCTCTCAGGTTTTCCCGGATCCCTTCGGACACATCTTACCAATGGCTGCATAAAACGGACCTGCAGCCCAGAGGCTCAGATGCCTAGTTCCCGGGGGAAGGGGCGGGGCCAGCCCGCCGCAGCGTCGCCAGTGGCGCTTTCTGCTTTACGCCTTTTGTCATAAAAGTGAAAATCCTGTTCAGATTTCCTTAGGTTAGCGAAAGCAGGTACTAATGCAGGTCTTTTGTAAAAGCAAATGGTGCAACACAAACTCTCAAGAAACACGGAACACCTGTTCTAGTTTATAAATAAAGGAGGAAAAGCTGCAGCACAGGAAGACACTTTATTCTGTCATCACTCACCCCAGGCCCCGGGGAGGCCCGCCTGAGAACAGAGGCCAGTCTCAGCCACCCCGCCGTCACCCCCTCTCGTGTCCTTCCCTGGGCCCTGCTGCCCCTCAGGGAAACGCACTCCGTCCCCGTCGGCTCAGGACGCCTCCTCACACCGTGGTGCTGAAGACCCCCGCCCAGCTTTCGTTGGAAGGACAGTTGGCCCCCGTCCCCTCCGGGAGGACCGAATCTGTCCTGCCCACGGTCCCGTTCCTGTCCCGGGCCGACGCGGCTACACCTCCCCTGAGGTGGCTGGTGGTGGGCCTGGCCTGCCTCGCTGTCACTTCAGGGTCCATGGCCCGAGCCCCAGACGCGCTGACGGGAAAGCCTGGCCGCCCAGCTCGGCTCTGTGGCTCCGGCCGGGGCCTGGCCTGGAGTCCTGGCTGCCCCGCTCTGTGTGCACGGAGGCGGCTGGACATCCTCTGTATCACCAGCCTCTGGGCCTTCAAGCGCTTTCGGAGCTTTTCGTTTTCCTTCAGAGTCAGGAAGAGTTTTGTTTTTAGGGCATCTAGGTCCAAAAGGGCGTAGCTGTGATCGGACGGCTGTGTGGGGCTGGCCGGCGGACGGGGGGCCGAGAGTCCCTGCAGTCTCTGCGGCAGGCCCTGGGGACAGAGGCGAGTGAAGGCGGAGCCGAGCCCGGGCCCAGCATAGCTGCCACCGCGGGACGGCGACAGGCGGGGGCCGCGGGAGGCACGGCGCAGACCCGGCCCGGCCCCCACGCCCCACGGCGCTCCTGAGACCAGGGCCACGGGCCAGGGTGCTCGTGGCCTGGGCTCCAGTTTGCTTCCTTTCGTTTGAAGCGAATCCCCGTGTGCAGAGACCAACCAACCGACCACCTGCTGCCTCCGGCCCCGGGCCCTACCTGTTCTGCGGCGCCGCCGGCGCTCGGGGGCAGCGCTTCGAGGGCACTGTCCGTCCTCCCCGGGCCGCACTCTGCCAGCCCCGCCGCAGGCACGGCCTGCGGACAGCAGGGCAGAAGTGGGCAGCCCGCCAGGAACCCTTCCCGCTCTCCCGGCAGGGGCCACGGCCAGGGGACCAGCAGAAACAAACAGCCCGCCCCCCCCCCATCCCGGGCCTGGGCTCAGACCCTCAGAAGGCGGGCACGAGCCAGCCCTCCAAGCACCTTGGGCCGCCTGGTATTAAACAGGGAGGAGAACACAGAATCCTAAACCTTGGTCTGTGAGGAGAGCGCGGCAAAGCCGTGCAGGCCGGGGGGCGGGGGGGGGCACGTGCACCCCCCGGCGTCTGCGCCAAGGCCTCAGTCCTGACTTGGGGAGCACCAGCGCACACTCACCTCCTCCTTGTAAGAGCCCACATTCGCATCCTCGCCGGCCAGGTCCGCGCTCTCCCTCACCAGCTGCAAGAGACAGCACCGTCCACAGGCTCCCCAGGGGTGCAGGTCACCCCAAGAACCCCCGCCGGCACCACCCACTGGCTCACCCTCCCCAAAGCTGTCCCCAAATCTTAGGTCAGAGGCCCATGAACAGGACCCGTGAAGCCAGGGGCCTGATTCCTATGTGTCCCCCAGGGCCTGACATTCTAGGTACGTAGGAGGTGACTCAAATTTGACTCAAGGAGTGGCAGCCCCCTAGGAGAGAACATCTGACGCAGGGCCTGCTGCCAGTGCCCAGGCATCCCCGGAGCTGAGCCCCCAGCCACGGGGCCGGAACCAGCGGCCCCTACCCCTAGCTCCTGGCCCCGGGCACCGACAGCCCCCCAAGTTGTTAAACTAAACTCACTTCACATCTCACCACAAATGCGTGAGAAGTGATCAAGCTCCACTAGCAATGGGCACTGACGGAGGGGGCTAATCAGAAGGCAGTGTCAGTCCAGCAGGAGAGTGAGGTTCTAGACCCTGCCGCACAGCCCCGTGCCCGTAGTTAACAGCACGTACTGTACACTCAGAAGTTTGTCAAGGGGCTAGATCTCGTTAAGTGCTCTGACCGCAATAAAAATCAAATACATATCAACTGAAAACAAAAGGCCTTCCATGTTGACAACAAAACCTCCTCAGTGTTGGGGGTAAAGCTGTGAAACAAACCCCTGCCCTCAGGGAGCCGACCAAAGAGAGAAGCGGAGCCAGAGCAAATGCACGTGTGGCCCCCGCTCACGGAGCCAGAAAGAGCCAGCACGACGGGAAGCCCGGCGAGCAGGGGGACAATGGACAGCGGTCAGGGGGTCCCTCCTCCAGGGGATGTGAACATGGACTTAGATGGGAGGCCACGAGCCTGCAGATGGGCACAAAGTTCGGACGGAGGGCGGGCGCCCCGACGCAGGGCCCGCTGGGCACATGCACTCAGGCTTCCTCACCCCTGTTAACTGCCTTCCCTCTCACTGCCAGTACCATCGGCCCGCACAGGTACCCGCTGGCCTTGCGTGCCCGGTGTGACGCCCGCACTCTGGGACTCAGGACACCTTCGGGGCTTAGGAAATTCAAGATAATCCCCCTCAGGGCCTCCACGTCCAGCTGTCCGGGAGCTCTCCCCTGAGCCGCCCCACAGAGCCACGGCCACTCCAATGTCCCGCTGGGAAATCAAACTCCAGATGCACAGGGCCAAACCCAGAGATTCAGGGAACCCCATCCCCCAGGGGCTCAGCGAGCTCGGCCCTTGCCGACCACCACCCTCTCAGCCCACTGGGCCTGCAAAGGCCACCCGCTCTCCCGACCGCACACCCCCCTTTAGCTCAGGCCACCGCGACGGCACCTGCGACACCACTGGCTCCAGCCAGAGGGAGCCTTCTCCCCTCACCCGACAAACCGTAGCCTCTGCCAGCCTGTCACCATCGGCCCCTGCCACCCTCCAACCAGCCAGAGCTGACGCTGTCGGTGAGCGGGCCCAAATCCCTTCCAGCTCCAAGTCTGGGCCACGCGGCCCCCCGACCTCCCTCCAGCTCTCCCCCTGCCTCAGCCTCCTACGGCGGGGGCCCAGAGCTCTCCGCCCGCGCGGCACCTGCCAGTGGGAGTGGCACAGCCTCCGGCTTCCTGACCACAGCCCCCCGCCCCGGCTGCCTACTCGGAAGAAAAAGACAAGGTCTGAATGCAACACAGCCACCACCTTCCACTGGGAAGGGTCTTCACTGTGCGGCCTCAAGCCACGTGACGCCCAGCAAAAATGAAATGCATGTGGGCGCCTGGAGGGCTCAGTCGGTGAGGCCTCTGCCTTCGGCTCAGGTCATGATGCCGGGGTCCTGGGCGAGCCCCGCATCGGGCTCCCTCCTCAGTGGGGAGCCTGCCTCTCCCTCTGCCTGACGCTCCCTCTGCTTGTGCTCTAATAAATAAATAAAATCTTAAAAAAAAAAATGAAATGCAGAGAGGACCAAGCTTTTGGTGCACTTGCCAGTCAGCTGCTTCAGCATCTTCTGGTTGTAGGGCATGATTTGGGGTGGCGGGGGAGGGAAAGAGGGAGAGAGAGAACAAGAGAGAGCATCCTCAATCAGGCTCCACACTCAGCACAGAGGCTGACCCGGGGCTCGGTCCCACGACTCTGAGATCATGACCTGAGCTGAAACCAAGAGCCAGACACTTAACCAACCAACTGAGCCACCCAGGTGCCCCATGCGTGATCTATTTTTAAAGGGGCTTTATTTTTTTTTTAATTTTTTTTAAGATTTTATTTATTTATTTGACAGAGCACAAGCAGGGGGAGGGGCAGGAAGAGGGGAGAAGCAGACTTCCCGCGGAGCAGGGAGCCCGATGTGGGGCTCGATCCCAGGACCCCGGGATCGTGACCTGAGCCGAAGGCAGACGTTTAACGACTGAGCCACCCAGGCGCCCCGAAAGGGGCTTTAAATTGCAAACGACCTACAGCAAAGGTCGTGGGCAGCTGGGCTCTGAACCCCGAGGGGCCGCCCTCACCGCACTTCTCAGCCTGCAAACACCACACCCGCCCCAGCTGCTGGCTGCACCCCTGCAGGCTGGAGATGAAGACATTAGAGGTGGTGCCGTGTTCACCTGCGCGGCATCCTGAAAGGCGAACACTGTGGGCACGGCATTCTGCTTCAGGTTTTTGCGGTTTCCAAAGGCGCTGAAGCACTCGGGTCGGAAGTGCTCGGAGCAGATGACTGTGTGCTGCTTGGGCTTGAAGTTGCCCCGGCCGATGTTCAGCACCCATTCCTTCAGCAGCTCTGGGCGGCTGAACGGGAACCTAGGAGGTAAGGGAGACATGAAGGAATTTGCAAGGCTCAAGTTGGCACTGCAGAGTTGTATGGAATTTTGAAAACACCACATGGCATTTTACTGGACAGCTTGGAAAATTCAGTGACCTCACTCTGTTAAACCATATCCAATTTCTGGAAGCTTCTGTCATGCCTGGTTACAGCAGTCTCAGTAGGCGATGTGGGGCCACAAACGTGGCCAGAAAACCTTCCAAAGGTATACTTGCAGGGCAAGCCGGTTAGTGCCTCGGGGAGTCCGCCGTGTCCAGGCCCTGCCCCTGGCTCTGGGAAGTGGGAATGAGTAAGTCCCACCCTCCTAGAACCTACATTCTAGAACAGGAGAAAACAGACAGTAAACCAAACAGACATAGATTGCGTAGAACTTGAGTGGGAAGTGGTCAGGAAGGCCTCCCGAGAGGTGACATCTGAGCAGATGCCGCAGGAAGCAGGACAGCGAGCCGTGTGCGTATCAGAGGGAAGAGCAAGAGCAAAGGCACTGTGACAGGGACGCCCAGCATGTTGGGGGTGTGGTCAGAGGCGGGTTTGGCTGAGAGGGTGGGAGCAAGAGCAGGGGTGAGGACCTCAGGAGGCGGGCCTCGGGCAGCCGGGCAGTCCCCAGAAGCTCTGGGCTGAGGGTGAGAGAGGAGGGCGGGCACCTGGTGGCTGCGACCCGGGTGTCAGCGGAGGGGTCATGAGCAGGCAGACCTGGGATGTGTTTTGAAAGCTGTGCAATAACGTTTGCTTGTGAGCCACAAAATAAAGAGAAGGAAGGAGTTCCGTGTATTAAGATGAGAGGGGAGGTACTGTAGGAGGGGCAGGCCTGGGGGATCAGAATTTAGGTTCTGTTTGTTAAATCTGAGGTGCCTTTTACATGACCAAGTGCTGAAGTGCAGCAGCAAGGGACACGTGTCAGGAGACGTCAGCGTGGGGACCGTCCCTGTGTGAAGGGTGGCGAAGCCTGGGTGAAATCGGAGCCCTGGGGAGTGAGTGTGGACGGGGAGGACACAAAGCCATGGCCCTCCCCCAAGGGGCTCCAAGGCTAGCACTGGAAATGAGGAGGATCCGGCAAAGGAGTCTGAGAAGGGACACTGTGACAGAGGAAGAGGTCAAAGGGGGGCCCTAGAAGCCAAGTGGGGAGTGTCACGAGAGGTCAGTGGTCGGCTGTGCCAAAGGCTGCAGAGAGGTTGCTTCGGATGAGGATGGACCAGCACTGAGCAGGGCCACCGGGGACTTGGCAGAGCTCCTCTGCGGGAGTGGCAGGGGCCAGAGTCCGACTGGAATGAATTCCAGAGGTAGCCGGAGGCAATTCCACTCCTGGGATGTGCCCAATGGAAACGAAGAGAGACACGTGCACAGGAAGCCTTGTCCCAGCGAAACTGTCCCCGGTCCTGTGCTTGTCATGGCCAAGACACGGGGGCCCCCAAATGCCCTTTAATTGTAAAACAAGTCAGTTCTGGTATATTCATTCAGCGGAGCCCCTCGAGAGATGGGGAGGAAGGACACCCAGCTGACTCACAGCCGTGAGCAGAACACACAAGGAGAGCACCACGGTGCTGGACTCCTCATGCCAAGTTCAACACAGGCCAAAGCGCCCCACTCTGACTGACAGAAGGTAGGATCCGGTCACCCTTGGGGATGAGAGGGAACAAGGGGCTGGAAGGGGGTGCAGCGGGGGGCTCCCTAGGGGCTGGTGATGTTCGGATTCACAGCAGTCACACAAGTGTTCGCTTTGCGGAACGGGCTGGGCTGTGGACTTACAATTTGTGTGCTTTTCTGTAGGTCTTATACTTCAATAAAGACATTCCCTTTGAGAAGGAAAATGGTGATGGGAGGGGCAGTGGAGACAGAGAGTGCAGCTGGCCTCGGGGGTCGTGCTCTAAGTAAGGGGCAGCGGCTGGAACCTGAGCTGTCCGGGGCAGGGACCGAGTACCCACCAGGGCCGACACACTGGGAGCCCCGGGAGCCTGACGACAGACTCCAAAACCTCCCGCCAAGTCAGCGCGGCCGGCCCCCCTCCCCCAACACCCTGGAACATTCTCACTCCTCCACCCCCCCCAACTTGCTTCCTGACAGGAGGCCAGGCCAGGGACAAGCCGAGTGGCCAGCGCATGGCAGGCACACCGACGGACGTCACCGTCGCCCATTCATTCGGAAATGCATTCAGCCAGTAGGTACTGAGCACCTGCTACGTTCCAGGCTGCATCTGTAAACAAGATCAAGTCCGGGGCGGGGGGTGACACCCCCAGAACTGCAGAGAGTGCTAGGGGCTGCGGGGCGCGGCCCGGGGATGGGGCGGCCCACCCCGGCCTCCTCCACACGCCCCCGCCCCGACCGGCCGCCGGGGAGGCTGTGCGCCTTCAGCAGGTTGCTCAGCCTCTCCGACAGTCTCCCCACGCGCCCAAGCCGGCCAAGGCGGCGTCCGGCCGCCGATCACCCCGCCCGTCCCCGGGCCGCCGGCCCCTCCGCGAAGGGGCCGGCCGCACGCCCTGGAGCCTCCCCCGCGGCCGGGCAGCGGCCCTGGCGTCCCCGCCCGGCGCGCCAGGCCTCGGGCTCCGGCGGGGGCCGCGGCCGCTCGGCCCGGCCAGGCGGGTCGGCAGCCGGGCCCCCGCGCCCCACGGCGCCCCCGCCCCTCACCGGTGGAAGGTGAGCTGCTTCCTGCGGCTGCTGTAGCGGTTGCAGCACTGCCGGGCCGCGCACGACTTCGGCATCTCTGGACGCCAGGCCCAGCTGCCCCTAACAAAGATGGCGGCGGCAAGCCTGCGGGACGGGGCGGGGGGCGGGGCCAGCGGGCGGGGCGGGGCCAGCGGACCCGAGCTGGACTGCGGACGGGGCGGGGCTAGGGAGCGGGGCCGGCGAGCGGGGCGGGGGCCGCCGGAAGGCGGAGGCGGCCCCGCCTCCTCTCTGCTCCTGGGTCACCTCCTCGCGCGCTCCCTGTGACCCGCATCACCCGAGTCGGGTGGGCTCCGGGGTACCACGACAAGGGGTGCTCCCAGAGCCAGCCCCGGCCCGACACCCCCAACAGCGCCGCCGGTGCGAGCTCCACCCCTTCGCGAAAGCCCGGGGCCCTCGCCTCCTTGCTTTTGAGGGGCCAAGGCACACCCACCAACAGCCTTGGACACCTGGAAACTAGAGAAGGGCTCACCGCCCAACCTGGCCAGTATTTCCAAGATTCTAAGGTGTTGGTGCGTAGATTCTGGCTGCTCGAAAGGAGGTACTAGTTGACTACTGGTGGGTCCCCGATTAGAGGCGGGCAGACACAGCTGAGTGACAGAAAAAGCACAGGCGTTGGGGACCCCCACGTGTAAAGGGGCAGAATGAGCACCCCTGGGAGACTGCAAATCTGCTTGCAGAACCTCGGAGGAGGCTGCAGCTTTTAACAAAGCAGGTAACCACTCACTGGGGCTTAAGCTAATCCACAGCATGATGAAACTGCGAAACCTATTCATGTCTATTCATACTGTGGTTTGATCCTGGAGAATTTACTAGAAAAGTGTATGAAAGGTTGTGGGCACGCTTCATCCTGCTAAACCAACTCAGACTTTACCTCCCCAAGTCTCTATGTCATCATGGTTTGGGAGAGGTGATGAAGGGAGCAGAAACACCACTGTCCTTCCCCAGAGAACACACACACCTGAAGCTAGGCATGAACCTCAAAGTAGCAATATATTTATTTACAAAATATACAGTTTCACAGAAACAGCTTCGCTTTATACACATAAACTTTATAATCACACAGAACCATGTAAACGATGTTAAGTGTCCGGCCTGGCCAATGCCAATGGGAGAGGCTTACTCTTGGGGTGACATCCTTCCCTCCCCTCACTCTATTAGCCACCAACCAGGAGCCCCTAGATGGGCCACGCCTAATTTGCATAAAGCTGATTGCAGCTGCCCAGCTCAAGCTAACACAAAAACCAAGGTGTCCTGAGACTTCCTAGACACCACCCACAGGGATAGAGATCTGTTAAAAGAACAAAAAGGAAATGAAGGAAACAAATCGAAATGACTATTAAGTACCTTCCAGAGGTGTCACCAGGCATCGAACCTTCTAAAAGCAATACAGCAATCGCCAGGCCTGGCAGTTCCGCTCTAAAATCACACATATTCTTAAATGCACTTTTAAAACTTCGTGGAGTTTTTTTAAAAAAGAAAAACACTTTGGAACTTTGGCTATTCTCATGGTGAAGACACTGGACAGGCAATGTCATGGGGCAGATCTTTGGCAAATTCCTCTCCAACTTTTCCTGGACGTTTGCCCTCATCAGAGCCAGACAGCTGTCTGAGGAGAAGGTGGTTTCTAAGCCCGCTTCTTACTGTTTTTCTCTACAGCAGAACTTCTCCCTTGGGGATCTTCACGATAAACTGGGTTTCAGAAACTATTTCTCTCTATTTCTGTGTTAATATAAGCAACAGAATTAAAAACAAAACACAACAAAAAGCAGCTGGCTGGTGAAGCATGAACGATACTAGCGCAGAACATGGGCTCCAATCAGCCAATTAGAGTTCAAGCCCCCTTTGTGCCTCGGGGAGAGAATGTGAAGAGTCCCGGGGGGGAGCCCGGCACGAGGGTGCCGCATGAAGAGCCCAGCAGAGGGACCGGGGGTCCACCCTGCTGTAAATAAATAGGACTAATTGGGGCATTCTTCCCTTTTCATGCTTCACGAGAAACAATGTGTATGAAAACACACCCATCTACTTACCAAAAAAAAAAGTTTTTGAGAAGAGTATTTGACCTGCCAAAGAGCACTGTCAACTCTGGAGAAAGCGGGAGCCTTCCTGTCCCTGCGGGGCCCAGAGCCACCGGCGGCAGCCCAGGTACACGGCCCTCGGACACAGCCCTGTGCGAGCTACAGGCACAAACTCCTGGGCTTCTCCAGGGTGGGCCGGCGCCGGAGGCTCCCCGGTCCAGGTCCCAGTTCAGATCGAAGGAAAGTCTGCACAGTTCAGTGGTATATTCCTGGAGGCCAATGTTACCATATCGCTCCCTCGCCAATTTCAAACCAAAAAAAAACAAAAAACAAAACAAAACAAAACAAAAAAGGCTTCAAATCCTAACCTTGCCCCGGGAAACCAGCAGGCCAGCCTGTATGAGGGCATCCTAAGAATAAACCACAGGAGAGGCCTTCCCTCCGAGTCTTCGCTACCTCATGATGCAGAGGAATGCCGTTCCCGTGACTGCCTAACCTTTACGCTGCTACTGGAACAAGGTGAGGGAAAGAGAGGACAGAATCCAGGTGCCCTCTCGCTTGAGAACAGCTCGCCTGGGCACCCCTAGGGCCTCGTACACCAACTGGAAAGGGCACCCCGGCAGAAATCTGCCAATACTTTTGGCTATATCGTGCAAAAAAGACAGGTTTTTTACATCGTGCAAAACAGGAAACTGAGTTATGAACACGGGCCACCTCAACCCCCCAACCAACCCCTTTCCCGCCAAGAAGTGGCCACACACTGTCCCTTTTAACAAACAGAAGGAAACTGAGGGATCACTAGCTAGCCACTGCCCCAGGGCTCCGCTCAGAGTGAGACCAGAGGACTCTAGCTGGCAGCCTGCAGGGACAGACAGACAGCAGCCAAGGCAGGGAGAGGGCAGGCCACGAAGGTAGGGGCAGCTCGATGGTTGCTGTACAGACACTTACGGTCAAAGACTTACACTTGGGAAAAAGCTTACACGTATGGCTGTTCGTTAACAGGCCTGGGAAACTGAACATCTCCTCTCCCAAGACAGCGGAAGCAGGAAAACAGCTGGCGCTGGTTCCAGCCGGCGGAGTTTGTTAACAATGATAGCAAGAATTCACAACTACCACGTACCCTCACTTTCAGCCGAACTGAACCCACTGTACTTGGGTGGTGAGCCCCCCTCCACTGCAGAGAACACAGCTCTAGCAGCAGCTTTGGCCAACGAGGATTTTATTCAGTCACTGGCAGATACAGGTCCTACCTTGGACAGCCTGCCCTTTTGCTTAGGCACCTGAATGGCAGGGGTCTGCCCGCACCAGAGCTGAGAGTTCTGTGCTCAACTAAGAGGAGCCAAAAGGCCCCCCGTCCCTTCTGATTCCTCGCCCATGCTCTCCTCGCTCACCAACAGTCAGTCCAGAAACAGTTTCCGCGAGCCCATTCGGGAACGGTTGGAGCGGCGGATGTCAAACTTGGAGTCCCGGCACTTTTGGCAGACAAACACTTCCGGAACATTGGATTTCCGTATTTTCGCACAGGACAGGTGGATCCAGGTATGGCACTCGTTGCACTCTATCATAGGGCGGCCGGCAAACGGCTTCATGCAGAAGCAAGTGACGAGGTCCCAGGAGTCGTCATCTGAAGGGAGAGACACGTGTGTGAAGAGGAGAGAAAACACTGCCTGCACTCCCGCCCCCAGCAAAGTCCCTCCCCCGCCAGCCCCCAGGGGTGCGGGGGGCAGAGCAGCTGAGCGGCAGTGAAGCCTGATCCTCGACACACACACACACACACACACACACACTGTAGGGCAGGGCAGTGCAGTAAATGCGTGACCAAGGACACTGAAATGTGTAGCACCAGGAATTAACCGTGAGATGTTTACTGAGAAGCTATATTTATTTTTATATTTTGAGGCCTGTCCTGGAATCTCAGCTGTTTCTAGCTGCCATCACCCCCTTCCTAAACATCTCAGTGTCCACCTTCCGATACCGTCCTCCCTAGGGGCAGGGGGCACACTGTGCTGTCACCCTCCAGGGAAGGGACCGCTCTTTGGACCCCCTCAGGGGCCACTCACCCGAGTCCACCATTATGTCCTCGTCATTGCCAGTGCTGTCCTCGTCCCGGAACACGACCTGCTTTCCCTGCCGGACAATAGTCCGTTTGCCTTCAGTTTTTATTTCTTTGACCTGATCAGGTGACACCGTGACACAAGATCCACTGGAAGGAGTATCGGAATCCCAGCCCGAGCAGGGGTCGCCGGGAGCCTGAGGGATATCCTGCAGGGTGGGACTCGTGGGGGTCTCCACATAGGGGTCGGCAGCTTCCAGCTTCAACAGGCTCCCCATGTACCCCTCCTTCACGGGCACGTCGCTGTCCCTTCGC